TATTACTCCTTTCACTCCTCTTTCCTCCCCAACTACCTTTCTTTCTATCACTTCCCTTTTACACACCATTTGTAATTTTAGGGCCTTGTTCTTTTGTTCTGCATTTTTACAAATGATAAGTAAGCTTCCATCCCTCAGGATTTTAGCTAACTCCACGTCTCCAACAACTTTCTTTAGTCCATTCGATAAGGTGATAGGACTTACTCCACTCATATCCTGTCCAGCCTTAAATTTCAATATGACTTTACAGTCTTCCATCATAATTTTCTTTCTTGTCTCAATTCGTTCTTCCTCATCCTCAAGAGATCTTTTTCCAACATTTAATCCCTTTTTAATTTTATCTCTTCCCTCTCTTCTATTTCCTACCCTAGACCATTCTGTATCCATATTTTCATCTTCCGAACACCCCCCACTACAACCAGCCATTGTCTTGATCCACTCACAAACCAGATTATGCCAAAACCACCTTTAAATTCAACATATTACTCGCCAAACAATCTCTAGACCGCTGACTCTCCTCCAACACCTACCGGAGGAGTCGCCAGGATTTGCCAGTCTCCTAAATAAACTGTCATATGTGGATGCACTACATATACTGTATATATACCATGCACCTTTTTCTTCCTTTGGCACATTCTTCTTCTTTGTGTTGGGATCTGGGGATGTACCACCTTTCTCCAGCAGAGTGCGCCGCGGGTCTCCTGGGCTGGAGCCCTCCAGCACACCTGGAGCTCGTCAGCCCATCAGGAGACCTTCCCTACATAAGCAGCTGCCAGACCTTCCTTCAACGCCGCAGTGTTGACCTAGTTTGGTTAGCGAACCTGAGCCTCTGTTACCTAAAGGAATCTTAGTTATCTCATGAGAGAAACCTGATTCTAATCTGCCTCTGTCTTTGCTCACAGGAAACCTGTCTCAAGTCTGAAGTTCTGGATAACCTGCCTGCCAGCCCTGGTGAGCCAAACCTGAAGATTCCAATCTGGATTTTCTCCTGTCGCTCTCAGAGAAGAGCTGGAAACTCTGATCAAGGTCTGCCATTCATAGTCAGAAGCTAGACGCTGCTGCTGCTTTGTGCTCTCTGCTGAACCAACAGTCTCTGGACCCAACCGGTTCCCTCTCTCACAAGAAAAGCCTGGACTTCTTCAAGGTAGACCCTGAAATATCTAAAGACTCAATTAATCATCTGACTGCCTGGCTAATCAAACTGTCCGTCTCTGCAGACATCAGTGAACCCAACCAGGACCAGTACCTGAACCAGTTCATGTCTTTGTGTGAAAACCTTTTTCAATAAACTCTGTTAAACTTTTACTCAGCCTCCGTTTGTGTTCTGCATGTGGGTTTAGCTTTAAACCAATCATGACACTTTGACTGTTTGAGCTGATGTAACAAGCAAATTTCTATACTGTGACATCAATAAACTCAATCACTCAATCAAACAGTCAATCAAAACAAGAACCATCGATACTAATGCCTGTCATAAACAAGAAAGTGATAAACCTTAAATTAAGCTTGCTTTAAAGTCCAATTCTTAAATCACTGGGCCATAATATAAAATCAATCAGTTTGAATTAATTCCTGTAAATTTCAAATCATGATGATGGCTGCAAAAAGCAGCAACACTATTTTCTAGCAGCAATGGGCAAATATCAGTGGAGAGTTTGAGAAAAATAAGACTCCTAAGTCTGTAGCAGTAATTTTAACCTACTGGGGATTGGGGTAAATAGACAGTAAATTCTAACGTTAACATTCATTTCTTATTAAAAAAAAACACCTGAAAGTTTCAAATTCATATGTCACTGTAAGTATACTGCTGACTTAAAGGTATATAAGATCTTTTATTTCCGGGTGGTTTATTTAAATGGTCATCCTGTCAAATATTCTGGTGATATGTTTAAGTCAGGCCGCCTACGTGCTCGCCCAGTTAGCTAACCTTTTTCTGCGCATGCGCACTTATGTGTGGTGAGCTATGGTTTCAGACAGTCATTAAGGCTCACCTTTCTCCCTGCGGTTCTTTGAAAATGGTAGAGGGTCGTAAAAAAATAAATAAGAACTGTATGAGAAGAAAAGAAAGGCCTCAGAAGAGGGAGATATATCCCAGAATGGTTTGTGCGGATAACTCTCCTCGCAAAGCATTCTGAGATTTACCAAGACCAATGGAGCAAAAAGCAGTGATCATCTGTCTAAATGATAAAACTTAACTCAATTTGCTATAAAGTCCACTATACAGTCTCATAGCTATTATGAGCTATGAGAACAGCACATTTTAAACAGGGCATGCTCGAGGAGAAATGGGCTCGTGCATGCTCTTGCACGTGCATTTTTTTTGGAGAGGACGGTTCTTTTAAAAGTCCTCCACAATACCTTTAAATTGCACATTAACCCACTTATTGCTCCTTGATGAGGAGTGAAGGTGCCTGATGGACAAGTCACTTCCTCTAATGTACCAGCTGGGCAGAACCTTCCTCTAGCGCAGGGCAAACCCGGACCTGAAGAGCCTGTTCAATGTAAAACAAATAATCAAGGATTTGGGAAGATCTCATTCAACCTGTATGAAGTCATTTACAAATACACTGTGATACAAAAACAGAAACCATGCTTATATTTGCTTCCATGTTTTCTCTATCTTTGTGGGTTTTTTATCATATGACTGTGATTTTGCTATCTGGGACACATCCTATTTGTAATTCAGTATCTGTTGCTCCAGTGAAGTGATTTCCATCAGAACAAAGACTAACCTGCAGGACAGAAGCGTCCCTCTTTGCATCTTTTACATGCCGCCCTACTTGTCTGACCCAGTTGTTCTCCTGATGTACCAGCAGGACAAGGTGACCCATGAGGGGTGGCGGTGCCCTCTTCACAGTAATAGCCCCGTGGGCACATGAACTGGGAGGTGGGTCTCTGTGAGCTACCTTCCAGACAGTAAAACCCTTGAGGAAAGTATTTATAGATAAGAACATTTTGTAAAGGACATGACCTGTATAGTACTATATGTAACTGAAGATGGAAAAAATGTATTCCTTCTTGGTTTGAGGAAATGCAAAGGAGTTAGAACATCTCAGACCTGTAGATCTTATAAAAAAATTTGGACTTGAAATCATTAAGAAAGCTTTTTGTTTTTGTACCGTACCAGCAGGGCAGATTAAACAGTCTTTCAGTCTCTGCAGACCTTCTTTAGGACCATAGGTCCCTGCAGGACAGGGTATAGCCACACCTCCCACGCAGTAATGACCTAACAAAGAGAAAAACAGGAAGGAATAGATATTTGGTTTTATTAAGGAACAGAAAACTCAGCTATCAATGAAATCATAAGCACCAACCTCTTGAACAGGTAACACATGTTCCATCTTCCTTCTCCGGTTTGTATGTCCCTGGTCTACAGGTGTTGGTTTGACCAGATCTGAGGACAGATTGGGTCCAGCTAGGTGCCAGAGCTCCCCTGCACAGCAAAGATGTATCATTACATCTACGGCAGGAAGTCTGTCCAGGTGTGGAGGACCAACCAGGAGGACAAAGGAGTGGTTGTGACATCCCACTGTCTGGACAGTAACTTCCTACAGCAGTAGGAAGACATTAATAGCATTTCACTGTAAAATATAACAGCCACAGAACAGATAGAAAAATGTTATCGCATCGCAGTACTACCTGCTGGACATTGCTGACACCGAACAGTACAGACAGAGGAGTAAAAACCTGGGAAACACTCAATACATTCAGAGTGATTCATGTTGGGCTCCTTTCCAGGTCCACACTGTGGATACATAGAATAAAACTAAATTATTTGTCTGTGGCAAACTGGAAAAGCATTTTCTATTCTTTTCATGTCTTTATTGGTTGATGGTGACCTTATAAGGGAGCCCAAAGGTGCATACAGAATCAAAAGGGCAGGTCAGACACTGCAGGACCCCTTCAGGTGAATGTTGTCCTGCTGGGCATAAGTATAGTGTTCCATTGGCCGGGTCACATGAAAAGCCTGCAGGACACAGCCGACAATCCACTCTGTCCTCTGAACTGATCAGGCCTGAGAAACAGGGCTGCAGCATGAAGCAACCAGAAATAAGAACACACAAAGGCAATTTATAAACATTTAAATCTGTTATTTAGCATTTATTTGTATTTAGCTTCCTTAGTCCAAACTTTGTACAAATTCCTTCAGCTGCATCTCTTCATGTGTATGTCTCTAACAGCTGTGCATTAATTCAGTCTGACTAACCTTTGTCAAATCTTCTTGGGAAAATAGCAAATATTCAGTCAGTCATGCCATATCTTTCCCCAATCGGATGCATGTTTAAGGTCATCATTGAGACAACAAAGTAAAGTGCCTCTTCAATCATCATTTTAATAATTTTCCTCTTTGTGTGTCAGTTATAAAGTTGTCTTCTTTATAAAATGCTTCAACAGTCTGGATAACTGTTTGAATGACTAAAGCTAGAGATATAAAATTCACATTAATATTTATGTTTTTTTTTCAATTTTTTTTTTATGTTTGATTTATCATCACGGTCATTTTATCTGCTAATCTTTATATTGCACTGTGAGGCCCTTTCTAGCACAGCCAAAGGCTTTTTGTATAGCGTCTAACAAGTTTTCTTCATCCAGTCTTCTATATTTCACTTCATTTAATCTTCCAATACCCTTTTCCCTCTTCCTACTAAAAAATAAATACATTTATAGAATTATTACATCACCATGTTCCCTTGTATGTATTGAGAGTGTACATGTCTATTATTTTGGACAATTGCAACACTTATAGAGCTGATTGAGAAGATAAATGCAAAGTGATCTATTTCCAGGATTTTCTTTGATCCTCAGGAGAAGAAGCATGGGCAAAAACAAACAACCAGTCTGACATATACTCTAGCAACTGAGAAATCATAGCAGTAACCTAGGGAAACCAACAATAAACAAATGGCCTAATTAATGTAAAACTGTCACATTGGCTGTGTTGAAGTGTTAATAAACAAAAAAAAAAGACAATGATTGTGTGCAATTTAAATGTAAATAAAAGATGTTTAATGACTTGTCACTTTGTCCTCTATAACAATTATCCAGAACAAATAAATCAAGAACTTAAATAAAGGAACTACTGTATTTTTGGCATGAAGAAGAGCTAAAGCCTCAGGTTCTGAAAGACACTGCCTTATAAGTATATATTGAAAAACAAGGTTTTTGATTTCTTTCTGAAACAATTAATAACAGTGATAACCAGTCCTGTCTGCACCAATCAGACAACTATATCTAATAAGGGCAAAAAAAACCACACCATGGAGTATCCGGGCTACCAACAGGCACATCTACATCTTTTATGAGCATGTCGGATTCCACCACCACCTACTAAGCAGTGAGAGCTTTCATTATTGTCCTCTCAATATGGTAGTCTTCACCAAAACTGATACACAATTTAGACCCAAACATCCTTTTAGGTTTTTTTTTCTTGTTGTATATAGTAAGCTATTTAGTAATAAATTGTGATCAAATAATGGTTGACATCAAAAATGACTAATGCACCAAATATGGTTAAATCCACGTTGCAAAGTGTGTCTTAAAAGACTGCAAAAGACGGTCCTCACTGGCTTTTATGTTGCCTTTTAAAAAACTCAACAATAACTGTATTTGATTAAAAATGCTCACTTAATTCAGTTAATAGTAAGCCTCTTACTTTTTTCGTAAAAGTTTTTGAAAATACTATCTATAAGAGGATCACATTCACAAGTTGTCTAACTTGGTAAATCAATAATAACTCTTATTACTGAACATAATAAAGTAATAAAACAACATTAAGTTTTATTACTTCTTCCTACTCCTTTTCGAACATGATGGGATGTACATATGTTTTTTTTTTGTTTTTCTTCTTTTTTGTTTTGTTTTGTTATGACTTTATTTACTTATATTTGCTTTTTATTAAGTGTTCGAAATAAATGATCAATAACATATCAATTATAAATAATGAGTTAATTAAATTATCCTTCATTCTGGTAAATCAATATTTATCCTTTTTCTCTCTGTTACACAAGACCTTCAACCTACTAGTTACTATTTGTTTATTAGTTTATTCAGGGGTTTTATAACACCATAGAAATATACACTATAAAATTGTCATTGTGTATCTGAATGCTCTAAATCCCCCTTATATCGCCTGTAGCTAATCTATTGGTAACCTTGCAAAAATATTGTTTTGTCCTTAAATTACCACAGCCACATTTTTTTTTATATATGTTTACGTTAAAACTCTCATATATTTTTTTTTACATAATCATGTCACTAACAAGTTAACCATGTTTCTGTTAATAAAATACCTTCAGGAACAAATGTTAAATAGTTAAAACATTCATATTGAAATTAAAATGTGAAAAAACAACCAAAACTACCTTTATAAATCGATCCATAAGTAGTACACACTATTAGGACTCATGGTCTTTATGATCTTAGTTGTCCACCAATGCACTCTTAAAAAATAATCAGGAACCAACTATGGATTTTGACTCTTTACCTTCAGACACTTTTGGTTTTCTTTTCATTTGAATTAACTAGAATAATTTGATAGTGTATAAAGCATCTTTCCAAAAAACAATGAGCTAGTCTTCTAACTAATGAACAGTTTGTTTTTTTTCTGACATCTGAACCAGGTTGCCACATTTCAGTTCTTTTTAATAAAAATAATCTACATTTATTTTAAAACCACACCATATCTTAACCTTTTTGATATTGTTTACAAAAGAGACCAGTTGCAGTTTGGTTGCATTAGATTTTAGTCACGGGGTATCAAATAAAAGATTGGTGATTATAAGCATATACACACTGTACTTTGCAGACTTAAAAAACCTGTATTATAGTTTTCCTTCTACTCTACTGTTATGCATTACTTTGCTTTGGTGATTTATATGACATAAAGCCATTAAAATTAGAATACATTAGACAATTAGCAATAAAACATTAGAATTTGTGATTGTAGAATGATAAAATAAAGGAAAAGTTGAAGTAGTGTTAACACTTTCAAAAGCACTGTATCTTTAACTGCAATTATTTAGAGATAAAATACTTATTTTCGCTGTCTACATTTATTGGTATGGCACGTTTGGAAATGCCTCCTTGAATGCCAATGATCCCTTTGGGGTAAGACATAGGGGATAGATGTTTTACCTTACAGTCATTCATGCTGCTTTTTCCTGTGTAGAGGTTGAATGTTCCTGCTGGGCATCGATTAGGTGCAGACACATTTCCAGGGCAACTATAGAGTAGGTAAAACAACATCAGTTATTCATGACCATTTTTTTGATATAAAAAACAACTCTAATTCCATAGTTGGTTCCATAATATGGTAGACAACTTACAAATGACCTGATGGGCAGTCTAGACAAAGCTGCCGAGTGAAGTACTTCCCCTCTGGACACACATCATCTTCTTCTTTGCTAAAAATAAGATTTGCACTCCCCTCTGGGCCTTCTCACATAGTAATAGAAATAGGTCATTATATTGATAAATGCACTTTAAGAAATAATGAACACAACAAAGCTATTTTTATTACCTGAAGCAGCTCCAGGTTGCATAAGCAGCAGAAAAATCCCACAAACTGGTAGAAAATACATTTCCCTCCACAAGTGCATTATATCTTTATCTTTAATCCAGCAACTTTTCATGTTACAGTTTTTTTCCCCTTTTTAGAGTAGACCTTTTAGGTTTAATCCTACAAAGATAACTGTTAAGAGCCAGAAAGAAAGTGACAGGCCTGTTTCCCTGAAAGTGAAATGAGCACGAAATGCGATTCCCAGGTGGTAACTCAAGCTGACAGTGATGCGAAATTAGGTTCTGTAACTGTAGCTGTGACTTTCATTATGCATGAGAAAACGCACAAGCTAGCCTAGTTGTTATTGTTAGTAGCTTACAACAAATTATTTATGTAACTCATGAGCCATCACTCCCTCTAAATAGGTGATTGAAGACACAAAAAGACATGATAGATGTCAAAAATCAGATATTTGCTTGAAATTGAGAAATACAAATACAGCACATTATGCTTTCTATGGGGAATAACTGCTAACTAAATGATTTAAAGTTAAACACATCCTTTGCAGGAGCAGAAACCAGGCTGCAAGAAAGAGTGGCACCCTAATGACTTCCTGCATCAGCATGCAATGTGGTCTCTTCCCAGCCAGGTGTGAACTGCATGAACATATTTGGTATTTATGTAATGATAAAAGGTTTTTATCTACAGCTAATATTTTAGTACCACGTCATCATGTTCCGTGATGCATTTTCCCTTTCATTTTTTCAAAAGAAAATTTTCAACTGAACTTTTCTATGCAGGAAGTCAAATACGATGTATGGAAACTTGTGTAGTGTCTAACACCATCCTGAATCTTTTTGAATACCACTTCCTGCACCCGAACTTAAGAGAAAGAACATATATGTGGGTATATGCAGGTGCACACAACAACAGGCTGCAAAAACACAAGGCATTTCATTGTTTAAATACTAGGAGCACAGAGATAAAAAAAAGGTAGCAGCAATGAGGTTCTCAGTCTACCTAATCCTGCTCTTCCTTTGGATACCACAAGGTAAAAACCTACATGATATAGTTCCATCTTCAAGGCAACATGATAAAATTGGTAACTAAATTGTCTTCTTTTAACAGAGCGTGCAACTTCTGCAAACACAAAAGTCTCTATTGATTACAAAGTGGTAAAACAGGGGGACAATCTCATGCTGAACTGCACCTACAATTGCTCAGCTGGATTTGTGGATGGCTTCTGGAGGACAGAGTCGGAAATCTCTCCTTGCAACAAAACAAAAACTAATAACTTTTGTACTGTTTCAATCTGCCTGGTAAATATTTCCACCCAAGATGTAGAAAAGAACTACAGCTGCTACACAGAAGTTTCAGACGACCCTAACCTGACAAAAGAATATGTGCGCATTGTTTTCCTTCGACTTCAAGGTATGCAATATATAAATATTTCAATATATAAATGTATAATGTTCACAAAAAAAAGTGAAAATCAGTTTTCTTGTTTTATAGCTCAAGACACCTTCTCCAACTGGACAAGTAACCCAAATATTGATCGTAAAAACAGTGAGACAATTTCCTAATGTCTAATTCAAATTATTTAACCATTGCAACACTAATAATATTGATCATTCCTTAATTTTTTTATGAAATTATCTTAATTATCTCAGCATCGCTTCCTGCTGAACCAGGAACTTCAAATGGAGGTGTGGAAGCACTTAGAGCAAAAAATTAGAACTTTCTACAGACAATCAATTCAAATGTTATCAACAATACTGGATCTGCTTCATGTTTACAGGAGAATTTAATGGAATGAAGGTTTTGGCAGCAGTGACCGTCACAGTTGCCATGGTTCTTACTGTTTTGGCTGTCTTCTTGTGTGTAAACCGCAACAAGCAGGTCTGGAAAGGCAAAGGTGATTAACATTTAGTATTCTGTTAGAAAGTACCTTGTATATTCTCAATGAAAAAGAGAAAAAAATCCAGTTTTTTTGCGATGCACTACAATAACAAGGCTTCTCACTCTAGGGAAGCGGACTGTGTCCAAGTCATGGTGAGTACCATCTAAGCTCGTCTTTAATCAAATCTTTGCATACTCAACAAATAAAATTTATGTTTCACATATTTCATTAATGAGTTTTATAAATTTTTATTATTATTAACCCTTACAGCTCACCTCAAGCCCCATATAATGCCCTTCTTCCAGTAAAAGGTGAAACAAGCAAATATAGGACAAATAATACACAAATAAATATAAGAGCACTGCAGTTAAGCCTTTCTGTACTTTCCATGCAGGGACATTATCAGCACAAAGCGAGAAAATAACCTTACGGATTCCTCCACCTGGTAAGAGGAACACTCAGAACTGTCAGAATCATAGGTGACATAATGTTGATTCCCTTTCATTTGGAAAATGTATTGTTGTGTTTCACCCAGACAATGAGGGGGATACAGAGGTTCCCTACGCGGATATAATGATCACCGTCCGAGGGGTCAGTACACCCGAGCTCACTCAGGCAGGCTACTTAGGAGCAGGGGAGGTAAGAGACAAAACAATATGAACCCAAACCTACAAATACGCTTATCATTCCACCTCCACCTTTTTTAGAGTAGAAAGGTTTCACAACAATCTTTTTTGTGGGCTTTTTTATCTATGCAATTTTCATGTATTTAAAGAAAAATCTGTTAAAACGTAAATTCTATCCAGTGTGCTGGATGTAAGACTTTAAAGGAGTAACGTTTTTGTTCATGTGATTTTACTGCCAAACATTTTCTTATTTTACAAGTTAAGGTATTTTTGGATGGCAGCACCAGTTTCCCAGAGATTTCTTTGTTCATTTATACTAAATCAACTCTTTTTATCACTAACTGCCAAAATTAATGAACTCTTTTCCTGTTAAATCTTGGTAAACCTCAGAAAAGGGTGCAATTTATCCATGAACTAATCGGCAACGTTACTTAAGAAAAGAGGATCTAAATGTTTAAAACTAGCAAATTTTGTGAAGTGAAAAAGTTAGTTCTGGATAAATACATAATCAAAACACTTTTCAATTCTATTGTGACATATACCCAGTATAATTATAATATCCTGGTAGGCAAGGCAAGGCAAGGCACATTTATTTGTATAGCGCAATTCAGTACAAAGACAATGCAAAGTGCTTCACATGATTAAAACATAGAAAAATAAAACAGACTCAAAGCAAGTAGGAAAAAAATAAAAAATGCAGAAACAAAAAAGAACATTAAAAACAGTTGGACTAAAGAAAATTAAAAAGTTGAACTAATGATATTTCAGTTGAACTGTTTAACTAGAACAGTCGAAGGCAATCGTAAACAAATGTGTTTTTAGTCTTGATTGAAAGGAACTCAGGCTTTCCGCACTTTTACAGTTTTCTGGAAGTTTGTTCCAGCTAAGTGGAGCATAGGAACTAAATGCTGCTTCTCCATGTTTAGTTCTGGTTCTAGGTATGCAGAGCAGGCTGGAGCCAGAAGACCTGAGTGGTCTGGAGGGTTGATACACTGATAGCAAGTCTGTGATGTATTTAGGTGCTAAGCCATTCAGAGATTTATAGACTAACATAAGTATTTCAAGTCTATTCTCTGAGATACAGGGAGCCAGTGTAAGGACTTTAGAACTGGGGTGATGTGCTCTACTTTCTTAGTCTTAGTGAGGACACGGGCAGCAGCATTCTGGATCAGCTGCAGACCTGTGAAAACACTGTTGCAGTAATCAATTTTGACTAAAAATAAACGCATGGATTAGTTTTTCCAGATCATGCTGAGACATTAGTCCTTTAAGTGTGCTCACTTTTGGACAAAATCCTTTTGATGCAATTTCAACATTTATTTTTTTAATTACACACCGTTCTACCCTACCTCTGTCAGATTTAAAACTGCTTTTATTCAACCAAGAACTCTATCCTTGATACGAACGGACACTCAAATGATACAAAACAACCTACAAAACAGGAAGTTTGGCAATTCAATTTTAATTCAAATTCAGAATTAGCTGATTGTCTATCAGACTGAAACTAGATCTCTGGTTTAGCTGCTCGAAAATATTAAAATAACTTCAAGTCAGACGGAAAATGAGGGGGAACTAAATTGATTATTTTAAACCTTACAGTATATCCGCCAGCGCCACCAATAATTACGAGCCTAAATGTTTGTGTGTTTGGCACAAATAAACAAGCCTATTCTTAATTTCTCTTTATTACCTTCTTCTGAAACTGGAAAACATAAAATATTAATAGTATCTACTGCTGATTTGCTTTTTTGTTTGTTTATTTTTGTTTTTTTACTGAAAGTCTTAACGCTGTGAGAGCTCCAACAGTTAGCCTTGATTGTGCCACAGTCATGGCCATTAAAGCTGATTATGTTCCGATTATTAGTGACACAATATCTACAAAGAAATGAATGCATTTTCTCGTTATCTACAGTATGAACCCTAGAAAAGCAGCAAAAATAACCTCCAAAAAAAGGCTACAACAGGAATGGCCTATCTAAATCTATCTAAATCTAAAACCACAAGTGTCAAATGTACAAATATTCTTTACTTAAATAACAGTACAAAAATTGACTTTTTAAAAGGAAAGGTAGTGACTGAAATGGTAAATGGCATGTACTTATATAGCGCCTTTATTCAAGTTAGGAGACTTGACCAAAGCGCTTTACACTACATTCATTCACCCATTCACGCACACACTGATAGTGGCAAGCTACATTGTAGCCACAGCTGCCCTGGGGCTCACTGATAGAAGCGGGGCTGCCATACACTGGCGCCACCGGGCCCTCTGACCGCCATCAGTAGACAATGCAGGTGAAGTGTCTTGCCCAAGGACACAATGACACTGAAAGTCGGAGTCGGGACTTGAACCGCCAACCCTTCGATTTCAGGGCAAACTCCTACTGTACATCCAACGCCACTGTCGCCTCCTTAATTTAAGTAAAAGTAAAAAAAAGTACTGGTTCTAAATAACTTCTAATTATAAATGTAAAATACTTTTATGGCCTGAGATGATAAAAAGTATTTCTTTGCAAAAAAATGTCATATTAAAACAATCATATGCACAAAGAACATGTTAATTTTTCTCCTTTGTTCACTGTGCTGGTAGAAAGAAAATGGAAAATTACTGGCTAGGTCTAATTTTATTTTTATTTTTTTATCTAGATTTCAACTGACTGCATTCACAGCTGAACACTCTTAGAGCTTGCAGCATGAACACTGCAAATACCAATAAAATTGTAATCATATTTTAAACATAATAAACATGTAAATTTAAAACCTAATAAAGCAGCAATGGATGTGGAATGTCATCTGATCCATCATCTGCAATGTTTCCTAGTCTTCACCCATGATGCTATCAGCGTTTTTCTATAAACAAACTCCAACTGCACAGATTCTCTCGGTGCTCTTGATTTGTTTTCTTACAGCTCTTAGAAGTAAGAATTTACATTTAGGTTTGAGAAAGTAAGGAGTACAGGATGAGGTTGTTTACTGACATAAGACAAAAAAAATCTTGTGGATGGAAGAAAAATGAATATTTAAATAAAGTATTGAAGTATTGAAGTAAACCACTAAAAAGGCTCAAATTTGTTCTGTTTTTTTGAAAATGTTTTGACACATATCTTTGTCAGTTCTATAGGCTCGCACCAGAGCGATCTATAGGTGGAGCGCTGACTTATTTAAGCAGCATGGAGGTCCAACCTCATAAGCACATACCAAGTCAGATGCAAATCAAATAGCCACCCCTTATTATTCTGGGTTGATCTATTCTGCTCTGTGCCCTTTGATTGTCAACTTATAGCATTTGCTATTTTGCTGTCTTCATCTGAGACCGAAACAGGGGTGGTTTGGTTAATCCGCAAGCTCTCTGGGTAAAAAAACATCTGAAACCATTGTTTCTTTCAATGTAACCTCTCCCTTCACCTGCATTCCCACATCATTAGTGGATTTACCAAAGTGGGATACCAAAAGAGGGATGTGGAAAAGAGATTCCCTCCCAATTGGATGTACTGTATCTGAATATTTTTGTTAAAGTAAGAAAGTATTTGAAAATCTTAGTACCTGAAGTATTCTAATGGATTTCCATTAAAAAAAAAGAAGCTAAATGTTGTTTTTAAATCAAATCATCCACTGACAAGGTATAACTTGAAGGATTTCCACACCCACCCTAATTATTGCAATTTTTTATTGTTTTTTTTTTTTTTTTTTTGGGGGGGGGTTACACTTTTTAGCTCAGGTATTTATCAGTTGCACTGAACAGAATGTACAGAATGTGACATTAAAGGACAAAAGTGTACACAGCTTTTCACATCAATTACCCCCCCAAAAATCTGTTTTGTTTAAACTTTGAGAGTCAATGTGAACTGTAACTTGTCTTTATTAAGAAGTTGTAAACTATAATATAACCTTTGATGTGCAGGATCATTAGTAGAGATTTAGTATTTTATCTTTAAACATCAGTTTTCCTCTGGTTCATGTGCAGTGGAGAGGAAATGACTCAAGATGCCACCTCCAGGCCTCGCGTTCAGCTGACAGACTGCATGTGCCCCAGCCCAGAGAGGTCAGCCGCAAGATGAGCACCAACTCTGAGTATGCAGTTATCACATATGCCTGACCATGGCTGTGTCATTAAATTACATCAGAAATGTATAGACCCACTTATTGTGTAAACCGTGTTTAGAAAACTCCTGTTACTACTGGTTTTGTGGAAGTCCAGGCCTTTTTTTAGTAAGAGCTGCTTTTTATGTAGCGCTTGTTAAAACATGTGCACAACTGTTACTTTGTTTTGTTGTTGTGTTTTACTCTGACAACAGTAGGCATACATCTATCTATGGACTGCATGTAATAATTAAATACGCTAATACATTTAAATTCTAATTAATGAGTTTTTTTAACTGATTAGTTTTTAGGAACAAATTCTTTGACTTGAGAAAAAACACCTTGAAAAGTCATGGTGAGACAGGGAATAATGAAATATTTTTTTTTGTTTGATTCAAAAACACATTTATTCATCAATTTAAACACTGACATCCTTAAGCATTCAGGACTCCTGCTTACAACATTTTCTGAACAATCCTGAATGTCATGAGTGAAGCTTTTCTTTTATTTATCAAAAACATCATTAATCCCATAAAGTACTCGCGATTAGTGTTTATTTTCAAAACAAGTATATCCTATGTTGTTGTTTTTCCGGCTTTCATAGCATTCGCAGCATTCACAAAACCTACACTCCAGCAAGAAAAGAAGTAAACCTAGTTTATTGCTCTGGTTTACCAGCAAAGTTAGGTTGGAAAAACGATCTTGAAATCTTATCTGGCTAAGAGGTAGAAAACTTCATGTAAATAGCAATGAAAAAGCAGGAGGACTATTTTGCAATGGCAGAAAAGAAGTGGTTGAAAACAGCTTAATATAAACTATCTTAAACAAATAAAATTTCTTGAAACTTTTTAGGACTGTGTGAATTAGTGAACATGCTGTTAATATGCATTACCGTTTTGCTGAAGCAAATTGTCTGTTTTAGTCTAATCGAAAATAAAGGATAACAATCGGCAATAAATAATGACATAAAAGACTTATTGTAAAAGACTGATTGTAAATAGAATATAGAGATATAAGAAATATTTAAAAATTGCACAATCCATGTTTGTGCCGATGACATACACATGTATAGCATATTGTTAAGCATGTTTCATATATCTATCTATATATCTAT